ATATTTACATTCATTTTTGAATAATATATTTTGTGATTTTAATAAACTATGATTCTCACTTGATTATTATATACTGACTATAATAATAAATAATTCAGTTAAAATGTAGTTTATTTTTCTTATATTGATATATTAATTTTGTTGTACACTTATATCATAAAATGTAGACTAACAATGCAAGAACGGCAAGTGTTTCCGCTAATTGCAATTAAAACCGAGTGAATTATACACGTATGGTATGGAATAATAATAATATCCAGGTCCGGTTATCTAGCGGAATGTCCTAGGTGTCCAAATCGGTGGTTATATCGGTCGACGCGCTATAAAACCTCCATACAATTATGCTATAAAAACGAGTCAGAGTTACAATATTATGAATAAATGTATTTCAGAGCAAAATTGTATGAAGTTTTTATAGCCGCAGCTGGCTATATTGGTGGCTAAACCTGTGGATCCTGTAAGGCGATCTATTGGCCTGGACCTATAATAATAATACGGTATGGTATGCTCATATTAAGTGAGCCAAAATTAAAGTTAATCGCCTTTCACTTGCCGTTCTTGCATTGTAAGTATCAATTTGTCCTAATATTGTCCTATTAATATACCGGTAAATACAATCTTTTAATTAATTAGTTTAATAAAAATACTAAATTTAGTAAATATCATTACATTTATTAATATGCCTTAATTAACAATTGGACTGCTAGTTGTTGAATAATCCTTAAGAGTATACATTTCGAGCGTTATCATAGCACTATCCCATAGAATAGCGTTGTTTACAGTACTGTACATGTTGTTTACTCTTAAGACTTATTCTGCATGGTGTGGTCCAATTGTATTATAATTATAGATCTAATTAATAAATGTAATTATTAAGTTTTTTTATTGGTAAAAATTAATATTATATATTACTTTGGGTAAAAATATCTAATGAAGGCAAAACTTAAATAGAATTTTAATGGATAATCCAATTTTTAATCTGTCTTCACCAAAATGTAACTGGATAANTAATCCCTACTCATACATGTGTTATGGTATTTGTGATTAGTTTTTAATTAAATGATTACAAGTACTGTAATAATGCTCACTCTTACCCACATGATCACATCTGATTTACAACTATCATTAGCTTATATAACGTCTTTAATTATGTATAAAACCAATAGTAAAGTCATTAAAAATATTGATTTAAAAATTACTAACAACAATAATTATTCAATGCCAATAACATTCATTTCTAATAATATTTTGAATAAATGCATTAAAACTTAAAATATCGTTGTCTTTAAAATAAGCAATCTAAAAATAAAGACAATATTTGAATTAACTATTCAAATATAAATGACTATTTGAATAGAAATTATGTTTTTTGAATTCATCATTAACGATTCTTATAAATATATTTTTAAAAATCATAACAAACAGAATAATTATTGAAAATATAATAGATAGGAATAATTAATCAGTGTCATTAATGTCACTATATTTTGATATATCTGAATAGCCAAAACCAAACGTAACTGAAAAGTTGTTTTAATTTCTTCTTGAAACATTGCTTTTATGTAAAGTTTGAAAATTACTTATATTAAACATTATAAATTTCAAACTTTACAGAAAAGCAATGTTTCAAGAAGAAATTAAAGCAACTTTTCAGTTACGTTTGGTTTTGGCTATTCAGATATATCTGTATGAATTGTATAGGCATGTCAACCGGTTATAGAATACCATATATCATATATATACAGCAGTGGTTCTCATTCTATAAATATAGTGACAACTAGTTTTGTAACAACTTTGCATTTTAAAGCATTTCATTCAACACTAGTTATTTTGTTAATCTCTAACACTTCAAGTTAAAAGTCACAATTTGAAAATTATTTATTCTTACAAATCATAAATGAAACAAAACACCATTTATTTAATTAAGGGATTGTTTTCAATAACTTATTTTATTAATCAGTGAAAGGTATTAATATTAATAATTATAATAATCATCATCATTTTTAATTGTGTTATTATATCTAGTATATTAATTATAATAAAATAAATTTACCTAGAACTTTTGCTACTATTATACTGTAGTCACTAATGTAATTTAATGTGTGTAAGTCAGTGTGTAATTTAATGACTATAATATGTATTATAAAAACAATAACATTATGCAATAAATTATTAGTGTTACTAATAATAAAATTTTTACAAACAATTAATTACTACCCTGATCAATGATTGGCTAATAAAATGAAATAATTTCATTAAACATCCGCTGGGAAAACTATTTTGCACTGAAAATCATCAGTTACTTAATACCTTGTTTAGTTAAAAACGCGAAATGTAATACATATGACAAACAAAATTCATATACAATAGGAAATTCACATACATTTGAATGCAGTATTAATTAGTCTTTAAGTGACTATCAGTTTGCAGTCAATAAGTATTATGTCGACTAAACTAACGGTTAATACCTATTTACACAAATTGGATTCAATATAAAAGTGTTAATAAACGGTAAAAGTTTGTAAAGTTTTAAAATTTAATATTAATTATTAACTTATATCCAAATATTGATAGGACATGGACTTCAAAATGAGTGGACAGTTGTCTGTGGCTATACTATTGGCCCTATTATTATGGTTAACGGTGTCTACTTGTATGGCCAGTGATCTGGGAGAGTTAGAAGATTTTACATCTACTGTTCCCTCAACATCTACCGGTGCTCCTACACAACCGCCAGTAATTTATTCGTCCGGTAGGGGACTGTTAGCCTATTCCGCGATTTCATACATTTTGTTTAAGTATTATTGTTATTAATATTTAATTTATTATAATTAATATGTAATGTTTGATTTTAATTTTCACCAGGACCATTATGGGGGTATTGTTTTATATCTATTGAAGATCAAATTAACTTGATTAATTTTACTATATTACTTAAAACCACCATCTTATTTATAATGTTTTTTAAATAATAAGTAATTTTTAAAATTAAAGGTTCTTTCTAATTTTGAATTGTGATAGCTTACAAAAAGGATATTAGTAATTATGCTTAATGTACTCCAATAACTAATATAAAATTAAAATTGCTAAACAAATTACTCATTTTTATGTACTTATATGTGTTATGAAATATCTTAAACTCATAATTACAATTATTTATTTAAATAATTTTTGTATACAGTAGATTATATTTGTGATAGCAATGAGATTTTTAAATTTAATTTTGTAAAGTGTTAAGTTAATTCAATATAAAATATGTTTAAATAGTAAGTTGTATAACAATTATTTTGTTATAATACATTCTGTATATTAAATTATACGTAGAATGCATTTATTTAATTATTGGAGAGAGCACAAAAAACTAGTCCAGAGTAGAATTTAACATTTATTTTAAATAGACCTAGACAATAGACAATCAGAAAATTAGCTTAATTTCACTATAAACATATTATCGTTATGATTAGTAGTATAATTTTATTAAAACATTACCAATATGTATTTAAAAACTGATCAGGACTAGTTTTTGTACTCTTTCCAATGACGTATTCAGATTTGTTCTAGGTTTCATGGTTAAAATGTTAAAAATACATTTTTGGTAAATTTTAAAAATTCATAACATGATTAAACGTAAACGTGGAATTTCAAAAATCAATAAAAATGGCCAAGATACAGGTATATGAGGATTATGAAAAATGCTAATTTATCTTGATGAATTAATATGGCAAATACTATACCATTTGATTACGTAATTATCCAGTTACATTTTGGTGAAGACAGATTAAAAATTGGATTATCCATTAAAATTCTATTTAAGTTTTGCCTTCATTAGATATTTTTACCCAAAGTAATATATAATATTAATTTTTACCAATAAAAAAACTTAATAATTACATTTATTAATTAGATCTATAATTATAATACAATTGGACCACACCATGCAGAATAAGTCTTAAGAGTAAACAACATGTACAGTACTGTAAACAACGCTATTCTATGGGATAGTGCTATGATAACGCTCGAAATGTATACTCTTAAGGATTATTCAACAACTAGCAGTCCAATTGTTAATTAAGGCATATTAATAAATGTAATGATATTTACTAAATTTAGTATTTTTATTAAACTAATTAATTAAAAGATT